TCTTGGTTTCCAATTTGAGGCTTGAGAGGGAATGCCAACCTTACCTTCTTTTGAGCAAAGAAACCCTCAAATTGGCTTGTGAGCTATCGAGAATTACTCCCAAGCCGTTTCTCAGAACCGAAATACGAGATAGGATGGCTAGCGCTCTAAATTACCACTTTGTTCAGCTGGTCGGGCCCGATTCAAGAAAACTGCGGATCCATCCCCAAATTCGAGAAAGATTAAATTGGAAACCAAGAGACGTTCTTTCGCCAATTATATCTTTATACTGCATTCTTGGAGAAAATGCCTCTTTTCTCCACTCCTTGAAGGCAGACGCTAGATCATTTAAAATTTCACTTTTTAGAGGAATTTCTGTGATGATTCTCAATAGGCAACGGGATCTCGTCGCACCATCCGATGCTTCTCTCTTTGTAAATATGGTTGAGGCCTTGCAAAACTACCATACTCCCTCAGCAAACGTTAAAGAAGCAATCAAAAAAGTCAATGGCGATCTGAGACTTTTAGATGCAGACACGCTTTCTGCAATTGAAGCCCTTCTCTCGTTGGAAGAGGATGTTCCTGAGGAATTTCTTGATCCCGTAATGGCAACCATTATGCTTGATCCTGTTCGGATGGAGACAACATCAAAAAAGATCGTCGATCGGCGGGTAATAATGGCCCATCTGATGAACGATGAGCGGGATCCTTTTAGTAGAAAGCCATTGAAGGAATCAGACTTGGTACCTGCCGATGAGCTACGAACGAAAATATATGCCTGGATAGCAGATAAAGTCAAATTGTAATTGTAATTCCAATTCTAACCCTAAATTTTAATTTTAAAATTAAAATATATTCGCATTTTGCAGCCCCTGCCTAGGCAAATTATTTTTTCGTTACCCAATAATGACCTTTATGAACGTCGTAGTTATCGATGGAAAGGGCCATCTCCTTGGACGCCTGGCCTCAATTGTTGCCAAACAAATTCTTTCCGGACAAAAGGTAGTCGTTGTCCGCTGCGAGGAGCTGAACATGTCTGGCAGTTTTTATCGCGCCAAGCTCAAGTATAAGGATTTCCTTCGCAAGCGATGCATCGTCAATCCAACTCATGGTGCTATCCACTTTAGAGCACCATCAAAGATATTCTGGAGAACCGTACGAGGAATGGTTCCCCACAAAACGTCCCGTGGTGCTGCGGCCCTTGGCCGCTTGAAGGTCTTTGAGGGTATTCCAACTCCCTTTGACACTCAAAAGCGAATGGTTGTCCCAGCTGCCTTGCGTGCACTCCGTCTGAAGCCAGGTCGTGAATTTTGTACACTTGGTAGATTGTCTCATGAGTTTGGATGGAAGTACCAATCTGTCCTTGCCACTTTTGAGGAGAAAAGAAAGGAGCAGGCCGCTACTTATTATGCCAAAAAGAAAGCTCAACTTGCAAAGGCTTCCTCTTGGCCTCTATCTGCCAAGAACTCTGCAGCTGTAGCTTCTATTGATGCTGAACTTGCCACGCTCGGTTATTAATAAAAGATTACTTAATGAACGCCCTATCGTACCATGCAAAAAGTAATCCTTAAGGGGCAGAGGGCTGTGAATCTTTTGGGATCGACAAGATAGCATTTTTATTGTATTTCTAAGAGGTTAGGATCAGCACCTAGCCAATGATGATGTTTGACTCCGTGGTAAACTTGTATTTAGGCACTTCCAGATTGAACGGTGCTGGTCCCTTGCGAATTCTCCCGGAAAGGTCGTAGTGGGAGCCACTAATAAGAAGGGATATTAGAAAAAATAGCAGCTTACTGGCAAGGGCAATACCATCCATTGAAATCGCCAGAGTCACCCATCGGAACACATCCAAGATGGGTGCATATTCCAAGCATCACAAGCCACTCGGGTCTCTGGACACGATCAGAGTCATTTTGAGGATCACGAAGCGTCGCAAGATCAACTGAGGACATCTCATCTATTTCCTCTTGAGTACGATGTCTAATGAAAACAGGCTTTCCACGCCATTTGACAATAAGATTTTTCCCCACAGGAATCGCAGAAAGATCAAGCTCTGTTTGGGCCGTAGCTTGGGTAGCAGCAGAGGGCGATAAAGGGGCAAGAAAATCAATAACAGCCGCTCTGGCTGCCATGGCTGTGAAGACACCAGTCGCGCCAACGACCATATAGGTAAAAAGGCGAGGGTCAGACGCAAAGCTGTTTGAGGCATGAGAAGGATCATTCTCGTCATATGGTTCACCGGAATCTCTTCTAATTGTGGAGAAATCCGGGGATTTTGGAGTGTCATCTCCCGAAGTATCCTTTACAAAAACAGCAGCATAAGAGCGAATTTGAGGCCGAGGAACAAGCCCGGTGTGCGAGATCGACGAGGGAAGCCAAGATGTTGATGCCTTCCGGATATGAGAAAAAATTTGAACCTCTGCTGGCGGATGATGACATCCGCGAGACTCTGGCATTTCGGCCTCATCCTCTGCTTGGAACTGGACAGATGAATCCTCATGCGCAGGAAGAATAATCCTCTTTCCGGTGATGGTTCCAGTATATGGAGATTGCAACCTTGTGTTGATTGCACCACCTAAAATATAATGAACACTACTCTTTGGAAGCGTGTTGGCAATATGCTGGCAGCTTAAGAAGCCATAATTCGGTACCATTACCATCTGGAGAAGCAAAATTGCAATTTTCCGTTCTTTACAATTAAAAATATTTTAAAATAAAAATAAATGTGCTTTTCATTTTAATGTTTCAACCAATAATTCGAGTCTTTTTTCACGCTCATTGGGGGGGGATTAGTGGCCTATTGATGAGGATCTAAATTTTTATTTGAAAAACTATTTCCCAATAAGAACTTTGGTGTGACCAATGATTGATTTTTTGTATCTGGGATATATAACTCGTACATCTTACTCCGGGTTATACCACTTTTATGAGGTTATTACTGCCCTCCATCCTGCTTGTTGTCTTTCTTTGGACTGCAAACGCGAAAACTTTAATCTCAGAAGCATATTTTATCGAGGTATCTAACTGTAATCAAGTGGAAAATATTGATGCTGTTCTTGGCCTTGATTCTATAGATAATATAAACAAACCCTGTGCTAAAATCACGGCACAGAAAATGCAAATCCATAATCCAGGATTGCAGCTATGGCGTTATAAGGATAGCCGCTTTTTTTCTCTTGCTTGTGGACCCAAATCTTATGTGATTAGTCCAAAAAAAGCTGATGTTGATGAGAATGGAGTTTTTATCCTTGACTCTGCCAAGCCTATCATTGCGGTTGGTATTTATGAGTATATTCAAAATTGCAAATATCAGAAATTTATTTATGACAATGAGAAAAAGTCAATATTCAATCCATCCTACCAAAAATTCTTAACGCTTCCATCCTTTAAAGACAAGGACAATATTGTAAGAATGCAGTGCTCAAGCGATATCGAATTTACACTCAGGCCTTACGCTGACCTAGTTTTCTTTATCTACAATCCGATTACTGAAGTTGTCTTGAGAGCCGGGACTTCAGATAAGCGTATTTATGCAGAGAAGGTTGCTAAAAACTTTGATAAGCTGATCAACTGTCTTCAGGTGCTTTGGTATTCCGACAAATCTTCTCCAAATGTTTTCCGATCTGCAGTTACTGGTGATGTTTTAAATGTCCGAGAAAAAGTTACAAAAGACAAGAAAGCAGACGATGATTTAAATTATGACTCCGATGATTCCTCTGAAAATGAAGCTCTAGTTGTTCTCGATCCATTCTCATCCGCAAAAGTCGAGTCTTTTGGGCTTTTTTGGGATAAAACACAATTTGGTAGCACTTGCTATGGTATCATAAGTCCAGAATCCAACACATGCGACCCGGTGAAGGCCACGAGTGCTGTTAAAAATAAGAAGCTTAAGACTTGGATTAAAGTTCCCTTGTCAGATGTCGTAAAAAACCGCGAATCTATTCGTCAATGGATTGCTATCCTCAAGAAAAACGCTAATGATGAGATTAATGATAGCACGTGTAATTCTATTGACTTTGAAAATTTCAAATCTCCTAACACTTGCCAAATCACTGCCAAGGACTTGGAAAATGCAATTAATCCAAACAAGAAACAAGACTCAAAGGAGTCTAACGTTACTGTTAATGGAAAACCTATTAAAGGCGGGCGCTATAAAGGGGAATATATTATCACGGGTAAGGAATATGGTGGGATAGACTGCTAACCATAGTATATGCGTGCGGGATGATAGATCGAACAGTTAAATAAAATTTCATAGTTAATTTTTCATGTTATCTAAAATAGCACTAATTGAAAGGCCATGAGGGGGGGGGGTTGAACAAATCGAATTGTACAATTTAAAACAAAGGATGACCGCAAAGAAAGTTAAAAGAAAGGGTGCCACGTAAAGAAATTTTAACCTTCGTGAACCCAAATGGGAGAAAAACCCCAGTATTGCCCACCACCTCCATATTCAGATCCTCAGGCACCTTCTGGGGGATATCACCCATATCCTCCTCCACCAAATCCTTCTCAGGTTTGGATATTTTGTTTTGAGGTTTTAGTTTACGGCACAAAATTATACACAGTCCCCGTATTATTACGGACAATCAGGACCACCAGTGCAGACACTATACAGGCCCGCACAAACTATCATCGTTGACGAAAACCAAAGGCATCGGAATGAGCGGAATCCCCGGCCGGAGTCTATTTGGTCATGGTATGTTTATTTAACAGCTTTATTTTCTTTCTACAGTATTCTTGGAGCCTTGCTTTGCTGCTGCTGCTTGGAAGGATGCGTCTGATGCAATCATGATGGATCCTCTGCATCGGGCACAATTTATAAATATTGTAAATTTTAAATGTTGCATGTGCCACTTAACCGGATTGGTCGACACTTGAGGATTTGTTTCAAATTGATTTTAAAACCTCCTATTTCTGATAATCCCTTTACATAGCAGCACATCATGCTTGGTCGTCTTGGAGAGCTTGTTGGCGATCGCAAGGAAGATGACGAAAAAGAAAGATCTAGTGGCGACATTGAAAAGGGGATTGATAAGAAGACTGAAAGTCGGGATCTCGATGGAGACCCAGATGCGAAAATCGCAGGAATGTCCGCATTTTACACAAAGTCTGAACAGTTGCGTTCTGGTATTGCAAACCTTCAAGCATCGACAAAAGAGTTAGAGGATCTCCATCGAATGGTTCTTGACGAAAAGGGGGCAACAAGCGGATCCTCATCCTCTTCAAAGGCAACTACGTTGGCATCAGGGCTCGGAGCAACCGTGGCAGGCCTGCGAAAAGAACTCGATCGCCTAAGACGAGAAAATGAAGACATTGCCAAAAAACTTTCACCTGGCAATCCATTTGTTCGAATCAGAGGTGCACAGGTGACTCAGCTTTCCGTGTCTCTGCTTTCAACAATTCAAGACTTTGAGGATGTGCAGACAAAGTACCGTCAAAAATACCAAGACAAACTGCAGCGACAGTATAAATTTATCAAGCCCACTGCAACGAATACAGAGCTGGAAAGGCTGATTGACGTCGCCGACGGCAATGGGGGTGGTGCGTCTGGAGTCGGTCTCATCAGGGCACAGGTAAGATGATTTCTGGCTCATTTCCCAAGATCTCTGCACTTGGAGATTCACGAACCGAGGCGCGCATAGCACTGGAGCAAATGCGCAGTCGGCACAAAGATATTGTTGCGATTGAACAAAGCATCATCGAGTTGCATGCTCTCTTTTTGGAGATGAAAAACCTTGTCTACGAACAGGGAGATATGATCAATTCGATCGAAGCTTCTGTGGAGGCTGCAGAAAATTACACGCGCAAAGCAGATGATCAGTTAAAATCTGCCGTCAGACACCAGCGTGCACGATGGAAGGTATGAAATACTTTGCTCAGAACTTAGTGCAATGTTTTTTAATAGAAGCGTTTTCTTCTCGGGATGATCCTCATTATGGTCGTGGCTTTGATTGGACTTTATATCCACAAAAATCTTTCGAGTCAGCTCAGAAGTTACGACGGCCGTGCATACCGATGACCATATAACCTCCAAAAGCAGGAATAATAAATAGCCCTATTGATGTATCTTTTGCGAAACCCTAAGCAGCCCAAGTAAGAATTGAAGCTCAGAGGGCATGATGATTTGCTGGCCCAAATGGTGGAACATTTCAAATTTTACTTTTACACATTGGCGTTAACGTCGCTTGTATTACACTTTAATCAAGCAGCATTGCAGTAAGTTGCTTCAACTCTGGTCAGGGCAGGGCGGTCTGCCGGGAAAAAGTCCAGAACGGACTTTCGTATTTATCTTTCTAAAGGGCCGATGGTGGTAAAATTTTACTTTTGATTACACGAGAGGCTCTACCCCTAGCCCATAAATAAAGCATTTCTTCTGTGTAGTGGCATCTCACAAATGAATGCTCATTTCCTTACTTCTTATAGCATTCACGGCGCATCTAATGCTGCTGTTTTATAACTACGATCTTGCTCAGAAGTTCCGATAAATCGTTCCCTCAACTGACGAACGGCACATTTGTGGACACCATCTTCAAGGTCTTGTGACTTAATTTTTGGCCTTTCGAAAAGACCGCAAAGAGCGGCACTTGTACTTGAGCATATATAGTTGCTTGTTATGTCTCGGAAAGAGATGTTGTAAATATTTCGAGAAGGACATGCGGATTAGGGTGCAGAAATGTCGCAAAATTGTTCAGTGGGCAATTCAAATAAAAATATCATGTGGCTAGTAGGGTCAAGTGGCCCGCTAGTAGATGGTTTTGGCCCCACTGTTTTTGACCATGTTCAATCAAAAGGCCTGTACTCAAATTATCAAAAGTGGGGACTTCTAAACAAGTCGCGACCGGGAACTGTTCATGACAAAATCACGTGCCGTACCCGCTTTTACCACATGAAGGGTTGGGGTTGCTAAAGCGTATGTTGCCACTAAAGACACAGGCAGGGAAAATTGAATTTCTTTTCAATCATCGCTTTTCATACAAACCATGCCGGTTTCGCTGGGTAACGTGGATTTAATTCTTGTACATATTGCAGCCCAGCACCACTTTAAGCGTATCATTTTTAAGATATCAAGTTGCAAATCCTTTAATTAATTTTAGCTCTGCTTTCGTAATAGTGGGTCACAATAGTCTTTGTGAAGATATCGATTGTGTAGAGAGATTTTGCGCGGGTAAATCCATTATCCACTATTTTCTTGAGATCTTGTGGTATTTCCTCAACACCCAAGTTGCTATCATAAAGCCTAGCCAATAAATCGACAAGATCTGCAGGC